CTTCTTGTGTTCTGTACTGCCATTTAGTTTATTCTAATTCCGTAGCTGTTAACTAGGCACAGGTTTTATTGGTATAGGAGACTTTAGGTGCCTACCTTTCCCTTAGTGTTAAAGTACCATTTCATGTATATGGAACCCTTTTAATGTAAGAGGTAGCTGACTAAAAATAATCTTGTGTGCTGGGTCTGCTTTGTGGCATACAGAAATTGTTGTTTAAAAAACTCTAGACTAACCACCATGACTATGGTGTGCTTTCACTTGACTGAAATCAGACTGCAAAACAGACTGCAGTCCTCAAGAGGTTTGTGTAGCAAATGAAGAACTTGTAATAATAATCTTGTGGCAATGGATGAGTACTACATAATTTGATTAATATTTCTCGTCTATCTCCTAAAGTATGTCTTTCTTCTTTCAGAGCATGGTATTAACATTTATACCCTGGTAACATTTGTCACGGCAGTCTTTTTTTGTATTCTGCTACAGTATGTTACTTTTCCTTCCCTCCCAAGTCGTCCTTTAATTACAACCTGTCACAAGAATGTTTGTGAAAGTGAATAATGTGTACATAGCAACCCTGCTGGCTAGCCCCAGGGGTGCCGAGAAGGATGCTGCTCAAGCTATGTTGTGTTTTTAGACTCTGTTGTAGACAGTCTGAAAATGTGGCTGGCGTAATACATTCAGCACACTTGAAAGCTGTGATTTTACTACTTGGAACAGGGTAGCAGAAACATTTTGATAAATGCTCCAATGTGCAGGTTATTAAGGTTCTTGATGGTACTTAAAGGGGCAGTCCTATTATGCTGTTTGTGTTAAGACTGATACAGCGTAAAATGTTTAATATTTGCCCAAATTTTGATATGAATTTGCTGTGATCTTGTCTGTCTTTGAAAGTCTGACTTCTTGTATCTGCATGAGAGAGTCTTAGCTGACTGCTTTCAAATGCAAATTACAATTTTCTGGCTCAGTTATACTCACCAGGAAGGGTGTTTTATGTGAAATTGATTGATGCGTTACTTAATAGAGAAACAGGATTTCCAAAGCCTTTACCAAAGCCTTCACACAGTAGTCTTTTAACAAGTTGCTCACATATTTATCCTTTTATATATAATACTTGATGTGAAAGTAGCAAGAGGGAATTGAGTTTAAATGCTAGATGCCACCAGTAGAAACACAGTAACTGAACTTTCTTGGGAAGTACATTTTGAGGAAACACTACCTGAGACAGGGAAAAAAAGGTTAAAGTCTAGTATCCCTTTAATCCTCGACCTCAGATAAGCATAACTCTGTTTTCCCCAAGTAGTTTTGTTGTCTAAATGAAAACAGAAGCAGTGCAGAGGGCTGTGACCCATTGCTGACATGGGGAAACAGATACCTCAGGATTAATGTCAGCACAAGCATTTGATGGATTTGAGAAAGTATAATCACTTTACAGATGACAAAGGTTTACTTCTTTTTAAAATCAACCTCTGTAATGAAAATTTAATTGTGTACTACCTTTATATGTTTCAATAAATCTCCTTTAAAATATGGGTGATTTACTGGTTACTAAGGATGATGTAACCCATATGCTTAAGTTATTTTCTATCCTAACAGAACCTCTGCAAATTAGCTTATTTAGTGCACTGCAAATCATATGTTCAGGTGCCTGTTATTAAACTTGCACTTGATGTTTTATGATGGCATTTATAAAAAAAATCAGACCTCATGTGAAGTCCAAGGTGGCAGGTTTTGGTGTAGAAAATCTGTGGCATTAATTCAGAAGTGCACCTTGGGCTTTTTTTGACACATGAAATTTCATTCTTTTTGGATCACTGTTTTTCTTCAACTTTTTAGGAAACGTTATTTTTATACATATATTTCTTAGTTTATTGGCTTTAAGTTACCAGTATTTGAACATAAACGACAGTCACATTGGGGAGGAAGTCTGTGTAGCTATTTCAAATAGTCTTTCCTCATGCCACTCCATCAGTGCCCATGCCAGAAATAACATTTTCATGTGTTTTGAAAATACTAGCTTCATATAGTATTTTTTAACAGGAAAAGATACCAGGTGGTGTTGGAACATTTGAGAGACGTGGGGAACAAGTTCCTGTTCTTGTCTGTGACAGACAGACTTTGCTGTCTAGGAGAGGAAGGCACAAACTGAGATGCAGAACTATAAGACAAAGCTTTAATTAGGGTGACTGCAATGCTAGTAAGATAACTATTTCTAAATCTAGTCTTTACCAAAAGTTACTGTTTCTGCTTTCAGTGACACAATGCAGGAAGGCAGAAAGTAAAACTAGGAGCATCTTTAATTGGATCAAACCCTATAATCTTGTGAATTAAACCTTGATTCTTTTCTTCTTTGCAGTATGGAGACAGGTGTATGTGCTCTTGGAGTCTGATATTTGGAGTTTGATGGCAGCATTGCCTCTGGGCCCCTGACTTGCAGCCAGTTCCTGCAGAAGTGAGTTAGTAATAGTAATTCCCTGCTCACGGGATTTTCTCTGGCTGAATGCTCAGAGGCTGTATTTTGAGCTGTATTTGCGGCCTTTCTCACTGAAGCTATGTAGACAACTGGCAACAGTTATGTGACGACTTTAAAAAAGAAAAAAAAAAAGCTGTTCATCTTGTGGTATAAAATCTTGTGCTCTTGTGCTTTCTGCCTATCATTTGTTGGCAGCCACAGATTCTGCGGTGCTTACTTCACAGAGGCCCTGCAAGAAGTGAGAAATTCCTCATTGTAAAGGAACATCATGTCATGTGCAGTGAAGAAAATTTATTTCTAGGCATACCTTGGTTACTAAAACAATTCTACAGGACAGTAGGACACAGACCTTAATACTCAAACCCTAAATGTGAAGCATTTACTCGCATATTTTCTTTTTCAGACTACATGTAATGGTAGTTATATTATGGCTAGGACATCTGAAAAACTTGGAGCTGAGTTTACAGTTTATTATCACAGAAATGTAAAATTATCAGTAGACAGAGAGTAGAACCTTTCTGCTGACGCATGAGGCATTGTACTCAGCAAATAACATACAGCTTCTTGTCAGCCTGAGTGCTTGTTGCCATTTTTAATTTCTGCGAAGTGTGAGCAGCATCGGTGTTCAATACAGAACTTTATCCACTAGTCACAGATGGAGAGCACTGTGAGGTGACAGATATGTGCATATGAAGTAGACAAGTCTGGTAGGAATATTTCGCTATACTATTTTTGTAGCTCATGGTAGGCACAGCTGAGAGCTATTTTTGACAAAGAAATTGCTTTGCTACACACCACATCTTCATGCGACTGAGGTAGTTGCACTCTCCTAGTGATATCTCTGTACCTATTTACACCACTCCTTCATCAGAGAGCCTCACTAAAAGCATGTAATTTACTTTTCTTGTGAAAACTGGCATCCACTTGTAGTCTGACTTCACTGTTATCTGTTTTGATTGTTTGATTGTGCGGTTTTTTTCATTTGATCCTTTGAATTCTGTACTGACACACCCAGACTAGCGCAGGAAGACATGATTGAAATTCCTTTTGGTTTTCTTTAGGCAAGTACCTGAAACACATGTAACAGCCAAAATGTCCTGACTGATCCACTGTGACCTCATACTGTGCCTCAACAAGTCCTCAGTGGTTACAGATCGTGTACTAATTGCTCACACCCTGAAACACAGAGAAAGAAATGCAGTAGCTATGTTTGACATTTAAGTGGAGAGAAATAAATTCCTTGCATATATAAAACACCTTCAGTGTGAAGCAAAAGTTCTGGCTATGAAAAAGTTTAAAATTTTGCTACTATGAATTCTTACCTGTTAAAGAGTTTATTTCAGGACTTGTACTTGACCAGGTAAACATGTAGTACATCTTGTTACACTGTCACAGGTAATTAGAAGGAATGTGAATGTAAAAAGAAATCCCATGTGCTAAGTTTGAATGGGGTGCCTACTGCTGTTCTTGAGTTGGTAATTTAGATGTTTGTGCAAAGTTAGTTATTTGGACATGGTACTTGCACGGGGTTCTGGAATAGTATCACAAATCTAATTTAAAGAGTCAAAAATGCAATAACAAATGTTTTAAGCAGCCTATTTGGAAGCACTCATAGATTTTACAGATGATACTAGTTTGTCAACCAAGTATAAAGTAATAATCCCAAAGACCGGGATGACAGCACAGTCTTTCTCACAGCTATTGGAAATAAGGTAAAACTATTGAGTTCCTCTCCGGTTAATCCATTTTGGTGGCTTGTTTTTTAATATATTGCAGTCAATTTTTAAAAGACAAGTTTGACATGTGATACACAAAATATCTGGAATTGAATTATGGTATTTTTGAGATGTAATTTGGGGGTATTTTAATCATTATTATTATCATTTTGATGCACAAAATATTATTTCGTCATCAGTGTAGAAATCTTTCAGGAAGTTGCTACATGGAAACTGACAATTCTTGGTTTATGGAATGAATTAATTTGGGTGAGAGGCCTTAAATGACTGGGGTATGTGTATGTGCTTGCACTACGTAACCTGCAGGGATAGTGGAGAATACAACTGCTAGACTCCAATTCATATTTAACATCTGTGAAATCAAGTCCTGTCAGACAAGTTTGACAGGTAAACAAATGACTGTACCATCAAACTGTGATACTTGTACACTTGTGAACTTAGAGAAAACAGCTGAGAGTTAGACTAATGCAGAGAAAAATACCTGTTATTTCATGCTTTGAGAGGAGTTCCAATGATTACTCTGAGATTAAATAATCCTGTTAGAATGAGATAAAATCCTGCCTAAGCAGAGATAAGTAAAGTTTACAGTTATCAGCGTGACACTTTCATGACAACCAAATTCATCCCAGCTGTTTCAACAGACAGACCTGGGCTCCTGTGCTGGGCTATTTGGTGCAAGGAAAAAACTTCTGGGGTCTGATAATTTTTGCTTTTGTTTAACTCGCTTTACCTAACACAGTTATTTTGATTTAGGGGCTATAATATGCAGTGTGCTAATGATATATCTGTTTCAGTTTGCAGCTCACCTAGTGAAAAACAAGTACCCAAGGGTCTGCATCCTAGATGGAGGAATCAACAAGATCAAGCCAACTGGTCTCCTCACTGTTCCTTCACCACAGATTTAAGTGACTGTAAACATTCAGGACAATCTATCTGAATAGAAAAGTCTTACCATGCAACACGGATATCCTGAATGCAAGGGGCATTATGGTGTCTTCACTATACAAGTTACTGTGATGTTCGGTGTATTATTCTGCAGATCTAGAGCGTGGGATCTTTGCATTTGTTCTTTGGTATAGAGCTTCAGCTGGAAAAGATCAAAACTGTGAAGCTTCAAGCTTTCCAAGAAACCTCTTTCAGCATTGATGTAGTGCACAACTGGCTGAGCGAGTCTGGACAAAAAAAAGAAAAAAAGAATAATTTAGCTGGCATTTGGTATCTTATTTTGTTCTGCAGAAATATTTATAAACTGACACTTGATGTGCTAATCTATTTAAGATGCACTTAAATAGATTGTTTTTCAGAGGTATTTTACTGTGAATATTGAGAGTAACAAGCTAAAACTGTACCCTGTATCCTGTGAAAAAGTGTGTTCTCCAGTATTTTAAAGAGTAGTTGTTGTATCTTGTGACCTACTTCCTTTCTGAGAAAGCATTTTTTCATCTGGATTGGAGATAAAGATGTGTCACATACTGGAAGTCACTGTAAGAGCTGCTGCTAAGTCAATCCAAACTGTATCATATCTTGCAGAAGTGGAGAAGGCCTCCTTCTCTGTGGAGAGTTTTTAACATTCTATTTCCATAAACACAGCAATTTCTGAAACAGTTATATTTAACAGGAAGGTAGGCTTTTGACAATACGGTATCTTATGGCTATAGATGAGTTATTCCACAAATAATAGTGCTTTTGCATTTTAGAAGTTCATGCCTTAAAAAGAAACTATTGAATTTTAGTTTTTATTTGAAGGCATTCCAGAGTTATCACCCTTGTGTGATTTAGAGGTACACAGTTCTCTTGGTTCTCTACTCTTTCAGCTAGTGGTGTCAATGTTTTTTTTTGAGGTCCTGTTTCTTAACTATGAACTTGCAAAATGACGGTTTGAGACAGAAAACCTGTTTCTAAGCTAAACTGGATGCAAGTGCTGTAGGTAAGTGAAAACTGGCTTCCACAAAGGGCATAAGGTGACTATGCACTAGACATGTGAAAATCACTTCGCAAAAAAAGCCAGAAGTATTGAAAACACCTATAGAAATGAGAATTGGCCTCTCTTTGTTGCCAAGAAGCTAAAAATAAATTTGATTCAGACAAGGACCAGCTTTCAGGAGATGTGAAAAAGTCCCCACCCTAATTTCTCTCCCTCAAAATCCCAGGTTAGCATTGATAGCATGTCATCTCCATTATTCTAAAAATAATGGGAGGGTGGGAAGGGCTAGCAAAAGAAGAAAATCTATCTTCAGGAATGCTACTTGAAAATATTACCTTTAATTTGGAAAAACCATGTGTGTTAAGGTAAGACTGACAGTATGGCTCTGAAATTAAATGGGAAATTGGAAGAATTTGTCTTAGAAAACAAGAAACATTCGGATTTCTCTTTCTGTATTTTTAAAGTTTAGAAATCATTGGTGCCACATGAGGCTTGAAAATCACTGAAGTGCTGGTATTGAAAAGTATTTTGTAAAATTTGCAAAATGACACAGAAGATCTATTCACCTGGTTACAATTGCATTGCAAATTTAGCATTTGCATTGTGAATTTAACACCATACTCTTTTAGAGCACTGTATGGGACACGTCAGTTTACACAATACAAGCTCGTTGTTAGGAGAATGAGGATTTGCTCTGGGTATGGTTATCATATGCTGTAGTGCAGAGTGTTTTATCATGAGAAGTTTCTAGTTTGGCAAACAGGAAATTGCAGCAGCTAACTTTATTTTATTTTTCCTCTTCCACAAGAGATTTCCAAAACTGAGACAGTTGTGAGAGGATGGAGGTCAGTGAGAAGGCTGTGAACGGCGTCTATAAATCACAGCCAAAATGATCACTTTTTTGTGGGTTTTTGACCACTTTTGTACGTTGTTTTTGACCACTAAAGTGGTCATGGTAAAGCTTGTTTTTTGTTTCGGGGAGGTTTGTTTGAACTGAAACTGTGGAAGAGGACACCTTGTGGAAGACCTGGAAAGAAGAAAGCTTTGTTCTTGCCTGTACAATGAACAGAATATTTTATCCTGTTTTTTCACAAGTTGCTCAGTAACAGTATGTGCTGTCTTTAGGGATGTTTAGTCTTGCCACAACTGTGATTTTGAGAACCCTATTAGAAAAGTATAAGTGAAAAGAATATGGGGGAAGAAATGCACCTTTTAGCTCCCTTTATTTCAGCTGTGATTTGTCTAAAAACATAAACCATGGAGTTCCAACATGCTCATACAGATACATATGGGCTTTGTTTGGTCTAAGGTCAGTGTAATATATCTGAAGCAGTAATATATCTGAAATATATCTGAAATCCATAATATATCCATAATATATCTGAATATCTGTAATATATCTGAAGCTTTCAACAAGTTTTAACTAAAAATCCAAGATGCCTGGCAGAGTGACCAAGTAAGGGATCAGAAATGAGATGTAGGGACCAGATCACCAGGTTCCTCTGTTAGCAGATGTTTTCTACAGCAAGCTCTGGTGAGGCCCATGGTACTCAGCTGACTTTAAAAATTAGCTAGAAACAAAAATCACAAGCTCCCTGAAACTACAAAATCATCCACCATGATCAAAGTTTTGCTTGACTGCATGGAAGATGAGAAAGACCTTGTGATACCCAGTGCCAGAAGGATTCACTATGAAAGAGTATATGGGGCCTGGAGAACAACAGTTCTAGCACTCCAGCAGTGAATTCTTTGACAGATAGGGTATCATTGTAATGAGTAACAGCGGCCAGAAAGCCGCACAGGATATTGGTGATTGTAAGGAAGGAAAGGAACAAAACGAGGTATGCCATCAGAGAGTTAACCCATATGGTGGATTTTGAACACAGCTTTATAATACCAAAAAAGCAATCAAAATAGAACGGGCCACCTTTTGCCTAAAGTCCATCCTTAAAATATGGAATTTGTCATCAGAAGGGGCCAACAGCTTATAAAAATACTCGTAACGAAGGATTAGACAGCTTTGTAGGAGAGCTCTATCTCTGGCTATTAACCACAATGGTTTAGAAACAGTATCTAACTCAGGGCTTTCCTGATTTGTTGATGAAGAGAGACTGAGAGAAAACACCAAAGATGTCACCTGGTTTCTTGCACTCGCAAAAAAGCATTTGCCTTTATTAAGTGACTATTGGTAATACAGCAGTTCAAGCGATATTATATATTTAATCCCAGCTTGGAATTTCCTTCTCTTCCTACACAGGTACTCGGAAAAGGACCATAAGCACAAATTATAGAATGCCTTGTAGAAAACAGGATTTAACGTGTACCCAGCTAATTTTTTTTTGTTACCATCCTTCTATGCCTTTGTGTACATGTAATCTGTGTAAGTGTAATAGTGGTGCAATGTTATTTCTCTGACCTCAGGATATCAGTATCTAGACTACCCTTGCCATTCTAGCCAGCTATGGAGAATCTTACTGGAGTATCTCTTAGCTGGACTTCAGAGCTGCATCACATGCAATTCAACAAAACAAAACAAAACCCCCACAAATCACATGAGGTTTTCAGCAGCTGCATCACTCACGTTATTCAGAGAGAGGTACTGTAAGAGCCTGTTAGTTTTGTGGCTTGAGATGTACTTGTTCCATTTGCAGAGCATGATTATCTATTCTGGAGTTTTAATTTACATTGGCGGTTTGGGTAGCTTATTAAGCTTCTTCAAATAGGATACAAAACTAGCTATGTCTTTATCTAGTTTTCATGGTGTTCAAACTGAGTTACTAGGAGGTCTGGGAATTGTGTGGGAATGAGTGTCACCTTTTAATCTCCCATTTTGAGTTATCTTTTCTTTGCTGGTGAGTCAGACTGGCCTCTTCCACTGGTATGTTAGAAATAACTACTGTCATCAGTCTTATCTTGCTATTTTTAGTTCCTTCTCCTGGGCCCAACTTCCAAACATTGCTTGAAAGAATTTTTATTCTTCCCAAACAGTGTTTCTTTCCAGGGCAAATAGTGAAGCTTGATGTGTGCTGACTAGGCTAATATCGGATTTGTATATTTTATTAGCAAAACTACAGATCTTTTTTTCTTTGAATCCCAAGCTATAAGGCCAGTATTGTCATTCTTTTAGATTTCCTGCCTCAGTAGAGAGCTGATGCTAGAAACTGCATTCTGTTTCAGAAAGACAGTTTCATTTGCCTTTCAATTAACCATGAAGCTTAAGTTTGCTGCTAGTAGTGCCTTTTAAATAGTAACACCAAAATACCTGTTAGATAAACATTTGTGTTCTGTGACAAGAGTTTGTATTCTACCAATTTAGGTTGGCAAATTGATCTCATGCTGCTATAAGCATGTGGTTGAACGTAATTTAATACTGCGGTGTGACTGTCTTACCAGCATTTAATAACCCAGTGTGACACAGAGTTTAAAGAAACTGCTAAAAACAAATAGGATCAGTAAAGTATTATGACCACTGAAACAATTTTTAAGGATTTCTTGTAAAGCTTTTCCCCAAAATATGTTTAACCATAATGTAAATCCATGTGCACATTAACCTCTGATAGTAGTTTTACACATGACCCCAGTGTATGCAGTGTTGTAATTCATGTATTTTACTTCCCCAGCAGCAGGTCCTTATGTTCTTTAGGAGCTATATTCTATAATGCACTGGCACCAAATCGGTCTCCAGAGGCAGTAATCTGTGTGGAGTAGCTCAGAGATCAATGCAGTAATCATTATATTGATGGAAACAATCCAAAGAAAAACTGTAGATCACTATTTTAATATCTCCAAGCTGAAGGAGTACTAAATTTGTGTCTTTTTTTTTTTTGTCTGTCTAGGGTTATCTGGCATTACATCATTTTAGAGAGCTATAGCATCTTGCTAGCTGAGCTGGCCAAAAGAGTAGAAGTCATGTGAGTACAAAACAGGTATAATAATTGTGGAGTTTTAAGAGATGTAGCGATTATGACAGTAGCTTGGGCTATTATTGCCTGCCTTGCTACAAACTTTTGATATGTCTTGCATAATCAGGATGGCTCGGTTCCCTTCACTAAAATGAGGCTAATAACACTTCCTAATTTTACTCAGTGTAGAAAAAAGAAATGTAATGAGTACTGTGGCTACTTAGAAAGTGTGAGTATGAGGATGATGCAGACACTAAGTATGTCTTTCCCAGGAACAAGACATTTCCTTGGAAAGCCCAAGATAGATGACAATATGAGTTCTCCATCCCTAATTTTGAAAATAATCCTTTCA